CTACCCAGAAGGCCCTCTGCCTGGTTCCCTGTAACTTGGCTTCTTGCAGTGAGGGAACCGCCAGAAGTCCCTCAACGCTGGACCTGTGTCTGGGTAGAATGATGGGGGTGGAGACGCTCCTTCAGAAGGCCAGAAGGGCCACATTTGACCCTTGAGTTCGAGTTTCCCCAGCCCTGCACTGAGCCCACCCAATGCCATGGCTACAGTCACTTCCCCAACAAAATTGTTTCTCCAGCAAGGAAGAGCAGCCTTGGCCTTCTGCGTTGCTCTATGCTAGCAGATGCTGTCGATACATGATTCCAACCCAGAAATAATGTCAGTTGCGTCAATTAGGCTTAATTGGGGGGAATTAATTTTGCCTGCCTGGGTTATACAACTGAGCAGAAGCCATTGGGGTCAGCCTCAAGGCGGAAAAAGGCAAACTGCTTTGTGCACAGTTTCCGAGCCTGATCAGTAGTTTCTCTATTGATATCTCTCTCCTTTTGATGCAATTTTAATCACCAATAAATTCCCTGCCCCAGATTACGTGCCTGACAAGAGCCCACCGTAATGGTGACAAATCGCTTTCTTTTTGAATCATTAAAGGCAGGTCTGGATAGAGGCCCTCATATTTGCATACGTGTATCCTAAAGTACATTGGCACTTAATAGCGTGACTCAGGAGTTGGGAAATGTTCCAGGCTAATAAAAGAAAGAGCTTTAGCCGCACCTATGGCTGCTGTGGTTATATATAATGGGAGGTGATTTAATGGGGGGACTTTGGAGTTCAATAGCTGAGTAATGAAAAGCAGCCCATTCCAAGGGAAAACTAGGAATGTTCAGGGTACACTGGCAAATGGCATCCCTGAACTCACATCTTGGCAATACTGGTCGAAAAGATCCATCATGGCTGCCACAAATCAGCCAGGAGTCAGTTCTTGGATCCACTTCTTGCGACCAAGTCCAACATTCACATTTTATTAACTTTCGGCTTGAAATTTTGGTGGGCGGGGCAAAAGCAGAGGGAGGTAAAATCCAGACATCATTCCAAGGAGGGCACTAAAATCGTTTAAAAGATCACATCATCTGAGGGTGATGGGGAAGAGTACCAGCATGGTGGGGGCAGCAGCAGAGTTCCTCCTCCTCTTGGCCACCCAGAATGTCCCTTGGAATGACCTGAGAGAGAGGAGAACTGCAGACACATCTGCCACACTAGATAGAGGCCACCATTTCATCCACCCATCATTTTTACTGCATGATGTCCTTGGTTGTCTTACAAGGAAATGGAATTTGGGTGGTGGAGAGAGATGGCTGCCCCATGGGGATTTTAAACCTATTTAGAGTGTGCAGATTTTAAAGGATTTTCCCTCTAAAAATGCACACAGACTCAGGATGGAACAGTCCTTCTTGTCTACTCATGTGCAACGGCTACAGATGGGATCAAGGCTATTAAACTCATACTTTCTCTGTACCAAAAGAGAATCTTGAAGCAGTACAGGCAGACTGAGAGGCTCTCAAGTTGTTGTTGTTGTTGTTGTTGTTGTTATACCCCGCTGTTATGTACTAGGTTGAATAGGATCCAAAAGGCAGCAGTCTGATTGGTCCTAGAACAATAGGATTCAGAATGCATCAGTCTGATTGGTCCTAGAACAATAGGGTCCAGAATGCAGCAGTCTGATTGGTCCTAGAACAATAGGGTCCAGAATGCAGCAATCTGATTGGTCCACAGGAGCCACCCAATCCAGCTCCAAGTGGAAGTGAATCCGCAACCTGATTGGCCTACAGGTGAATCCCAGAATTAGCCAATCACGTGGGGCCCATTGTGTAAATAAAGTATATAAAGCAGACATTCTGGGGGAACTTCCATTCCTCCTCACCACTATGAGCTGAATAAAGAGCATGAAATCCACTCTCGACTCCAGGTATATTTCACCCGCCTATCTGGCTAGGTTGCCCCAACCACTTCCCTACACAGTTGCTGCCTTTAGGTGTCTTCCACAGGGCGGGTACCACTGCCAAGAAAGTCCTCTGCCTGGTTCCTTGTAACTTCACATCTCACAGTGAGGGAACCACCAGAAGGCCCTCAGAGGTAGACCTCAGTGTCCGGGCTGAATAATATAATTACAAGTAACAACAGGGTGTTCACATGTTATATTCACTGGGTCTGCAATCAGGGTACGTGCACAAACAAACAGTTGAGTTGTACACTTATACAGCTTTTTTCATGAATCAATAACTCTAACCTTGGCGAGGTCATTCATCTCCCGTGCTTCCAGCCAATGGCTTAGAAGAAAAGGAACTCACCCTATGAACCCCTGGTATCATTTAATAAATGTCACCTTCAAGTCCCACAAACTTTTTTTTAGAATCTAACAAATCTGTCCCATTAATACATAAAACTAAAGTGGAGTACTTGCTCATCCAAGTGGGCTTTAAAAAATCCTTCTGCATTTGGTGGAGTGGAAAGCAAAGAAAGAGGCAAAGTGGATTATACTTGTGGATAACATCCATAGGGGTTTCATTTCTCTTCCCCTCCTCTAAATACCCACAATATTGATTATCAAGCAATAGAGAAGGAATTAGTGATGTTGCAAAGGTCAGTGAGAGGAGACAGCAAAGTGATCATGGACCTCCCTTTTGTATGTACCAAACAGGTGTAGAGCCCGTGTACAAACCTGCACGTTTACACTCTTTCGCACAAACACTTGTGTGCATGTGTCGAGACTGCACCCTAAGACCATAGCTGTCAAGTGTCCCTTATTTGAAGGGACAGTCCCTTATTCCAGCACCATGTCCCGCTGCTGTCCCTTATTTATGGATGTCCCTTAAATGATGTCCCTTAAATTTCAAAGGAAGCAGCTCCTCTCCCTCCCTCCCTGCTGGCCAGGGAGGAGGGAGGCTCCAACTGTGTTGCTTGGCTGTGTTGCTCACCCAATAAGAAGTCTAAGAACAACTGGGGGGTGGAGCTTGCATGCCTTGTGTGTGGCTAGTTAATGCAAGCTGAGGGGGGGGTTGAATGCTGGACACCATTTTGTTGCACGTGCTGCGGCAAACTTTGCAGTGCAAAGCCAGGCCCGGGGAGCCATCTTAAGTTGAGGCTGCATAGGCCTTGTGGTGCATGTGACTCAGATTCTAGTCAATTGAACCTCTGGTTACAAAGTTGGTTGGATAGTGTTCTCGAAGCTACCAGCATGAGTTTGACCAGACTGCAGGAGGACAGGAAGACTGGAGTGCCTGGAACAGGTGAAGCTGCAGGTCCCTTATTTTGGTTGCTGGTCCCTTATTTTCAAGGCTGCTAGTCCCTTATTTTCAAATCTGTAAGTTGACAGCTATGCCTAAGACTTTCAGAGAGTACTGGGCCAAATGTAGCGTAAACACTGACAACTGGCCTGTGAGAGCTCTAGTTGGAGAACAGCCTTTACCAAAGGTTTCATGGGCTTTGAAGACACTTGAACTCAGGACACAAGGGAGAAACGTGCGAAGAGGAAGGCACGCTTGGCAAATCCACACTGTGATCAACTCCCACCCAGAAACCAATGTCCCCACTGTGGAAGGACGTGTGGGTCCAGAATTGGCCTCCACAGTCACTTACGGACTCATTGTTTATGGAAGACAATCTTACTCGGATACAGAGTGGCTCCACTGAGCAATGGGCTGGTTTGTTCCCAAGCGCCTGATACTTACAAGGTAACTTCACATGGTTAAGTCAAGGGAAAGATCCCCTAGACAGTGTGGCTCCAAGTCAGGCATTTATTCCCAAGAGAAAGTGGTGTGGGGGACAATGCCACCCATTTTAAGTAACTCACATAAGCCTCTGTAAATCTGGGAAAGGGAAAGAACCACAGATCTCAAGAGCCAGGTCTGAAGTCAACTCATTAATCCCCTTAGGTCCCATGTCACAAAAGCTTTGCGAACTGGAGGGGATTTTCTAAATACCTTTGGGAACCAGTGCATTTAAAAAAAAAAAAAGTTTAGTGATTCTGCTTATGTCCAGGTTTGGGCACATTTAATGATGGGAAGGTGCAACATGCATCTTTCCCCACAAAGATAAGTGCATGGAAGCAGAAGAGAACCACAGTCTGCCCATTCTGGCCCCAGTCCAATCACAGCCATGTGCGAATGGGTCACGCACAATAATTCTGTACAGTGGACCCTCGGGTTACATTACCTTTGGGTAACGTAACTTTTGGGTTGCGAATGCGGCAAACCCGGAAGTGTATACTTCCAGGTTTCGCTGTGAGAGCATGCGCAGAAGCGCTCTATTGCGCCACGTGCGCGCGCAAAAGCGGCGCCTCCTGTTGTGGACTTTTCAGGGTATGCAAGGACCCCCGGAACGAATTAAGTTCGTATCCAGAAGGTCCACTGTACAGGATTTGGAGTCTCCAGACAGGCCGACACCGTACAGTAAATGGACAAAAGTACGAAGATTCACAAAATGTTTAGGAGTATGCATCCCCCCAGAAAAAAAAAGCACTGGGTACCAGCAACCCGGTTTTAAATTCCTGTTTGGCCAATTCAGACATTCCTTATGCTTTGCTCATGAAAACTTGGAAACTTTCTTTTCAGGAGTACATCGTTCCCCTTTTCCACACCACTAGTAACTTTATTTTAAAAATCCACTAGAGGGTGCTCTATCAACAGCAAAAAACCTCTGTACTCCATCTGAGAGTACACAAGCTTAACTGGGTGTTTGGAGAGACTTAGATGCCCAGGGTGGGTGAGGAAACCCAGCCAGATGGGCGGGATATGAATAATAAAATGATGGTGATGATGATGATGAGATGATGATGATGATGTCTCCTGGCTGCCTGTGCCTTGTAATGTCTTGGTAAATGCAACACATGTTATTTGTTTATTTGATACTGAAACATGGACATCATCTGTGTTCCACCTTAAGCAGCCATGGCTCCCACCCCCACAAGAATCCTGGGCACTGTAGCTTCTTAAGGGTGCTTTGAGAGTTGCTAGGAGACCCCCTATTCCCCTCACAGAGCTGTAGTTCCCGTGAAGAGGGATTGACTTCTTAGCCACTCTTGAGTTGTTGCTGTTGTTTAAATCACGTGATCTGCTTGACCCTTCTAGTTTTGACCCTGGATCAAACAACATCAAGTAGTATCACACCAGCAGAGAACCAGGGAGCTCAACTGACAGCCACGCTTGGCAATATTTTGCTTCCATCTCAACGGTAACCATAACAGATACTCAGAGCCATCTTAGGCATCAATCTCCTGGTTAGTGTTTGCACTTCCATTAACTTTAATTATTCAGAGGCGGCAGGGAGGAGTCAGGCAGCTTCACCCTATCCCCTGCAGGAGATCATTAGGATTAGACAGGTGATAGGATACTGAGCCATTAGGAAAATTGCATCTATTACAGACGACTGCACAAGGCCACCTCTGCCGCTGTCTGTCTCTCTCTGTCTCACGTGCGTCAAAACCCTCCATAAACCCACTTTTCCATGAAACCTTCAACTTCCTCAATTCTTCCCTGGGACTTCATTTTCTCACATTTGTCCTTTGTCACCCTTGCCGTTTCACTGTCCTTCACGCCAATTCTTCATTATGTCTCCTGCGAGCAAATAAAATGAAATGAAATAGGCTGTCAAGTCATAGGGAAAGGGGTCTGTTTATGGCGGCTCCATAGGATGCCACTATATGTTGATGGTGTCTGTGACAGAAGCACATTCATTCCTTGCCAGCATGTAAAGGTTTCAGGATACATTTAAACCACACATGTAAAGCTTCCGCCCAAAAATCTTGGGGGTTGTATTTTACCCTTTACAGAGCTACTGTCCCCAGCACCTTTAACATACTACAGTTCCCAGCATTCTTGGGGGGTCATGTGCTCTCCATGGAGGTGCAGGTCAACTCTGTGTCCATGGCAGCTGTCTACCAGCTCCATCTGGAACGCAGGCTGAGCCCCTACCTGCCCGCAGACAGTCTCGCCAGAAAGCTGCATGCCCTAGTTATCTCTCGCTTGAACTACTGCAATCTGCTCTACGTGAGGCTACTTTTGAAGGTGACCCAGAAACTACAACTACTACAGTCTAAGCTAGACTGGTGACTGGGAGTGGCCACCAAGACCATATAACACTGGTCCTGAAAGACCTACATTGGCTCCCAGTACGTTTCCGAGCACAATTCAAAGTGTTGGTGCTGACCTTTAAAGCCCTAAATGGCCTCGGCCCAGTATACCTGAAGGAGCATCTCCACCCCATCGTTCAGCACGGAAACAGAGGGCCTTCTCGGTGGTGGCGCCTGCCCTGTGAAAAGCCCTCCCATCAGATGTCAAGGAAATAAACAACTATCTGACTTTTAGAAGGCATCTGAAGGCAGCCCTGTTTAGGGAAGTTTTTAATGTTTGATGTTTTATTGCGCTTTTAATTCTGTTGGGAGTCACCCAGAGTGGCAGGGGAAACCCAGCCAGATGGGCGGGGTGTGAATTATTATTATTATTATTATTATTATTATTATTATTATTATTATATTATTATTATTATTGTTGTTGTTGTTGTTGTTGTTGTTGTTATTAGTGCATGCAGCCTCACTGTAAACAGTTTGAAAACTGAAGCTCTGTGCTAAAGAGACCCAATTATTTAAGACTTCCTTTATGGGGAATATGATCTACGCAGCCTTGATCATTTTACTCTTTCCTGTGCCTTAATCTCTGCTATAGAGCCATGGCAGTGGAGAGTCACACAGCACAAGCCCCTATCTGTAATCAAAATCCCTCTGAAAGCTGCCTCTTGCACTTTAAGCAAATGAGGCTGGGGGGGGGGACGCGGGTTGCAGGAGGATCAACCTGCCCCTCAAAGGTAGGGAACTCAATGTCACTTGATCTGTCCGCTTCAACATCCTGAACAAGACACCATGGCAGGTGCTCTCCTTGGATGTATGAAGATAGCTCCCTCTTTTTTTCTTTATTCTTTTGAAGAATGAAGATGCAGCTTCAGATATCCAGTCTACTTTGGATATCTGGAAAGGTGCACACCTGACATGTTGCCTTTCTGGATGTGCACACAGTTTTCTGGGAAAACAAATGGACATCTTTGGGCACCGTTATGTGAGAAGACGGGATGGCGCTGTGGTCTAAACCACAGAGGCTTGGGCTTGCCGATCAGAAGGTCGGCGGTTCAAATCCCCGTGACGGGATGAGCTCCCGTTGCTCGGTCCCTGCTCCTGCCAACCTAGCAGTTCGAAAGCACGTCAAAGTGCAAGTAGATAAATAGGTACCGCTCCAGCGGGAAGGTAAACGGTGTTTCCGTGCGCTGCTCTGGTTTCACCAGAAGTGGCTTAGTCATGCTGGCCACATGATACGGAAGCTCTACGCCTGCTCCCTCGGCCAATAAAGCGAGATGAGCGCCACAACACCAGAGTCGTCCGCAACTGGACCTAATGGTCAGGGGTCCCTTTACTTTTACCTATGTGAGAAGATCACAGGTTTATTTTAGTGTCTGTATCCACTGGGAAGTCACAAAGCAGATACCGCCACAATCATGTTGGCATAAGCAGATTGGTTTACCCAGTGCTTTTTCTCCCGGGGGGACGCATACCCCTAAACATTTTGTGAATCTAGTTTTGGCCTCATTGAGGGGCAGTATTTCAATATGAGTAGGAAAATGAGAGTACTTCTAAATATATATATATATTTAGGAAAAAAGCACTGGGTCTACTAAAGCAGTGTTCCCCAACCTTGGGCCTCCAGCTGTTTTTGGACTACAACTCCCATCATCCCTCGCTAGCAAGACCAGTGGTCAAGGATGATGGGAATTGTAGTCCAAAAACAGCTGGAGGCCCAAGGTTGGGGAACACTGTACTAAAGCACTCAACAGCCTCATGAAAATTCATCTGTGAATTTCTCTGAATAGACACATTTACAGAGCAATTCCTCAAAATGTAACACACTAGCAGGGAGTGCCTGGCGCTGCCCAGGGATTTGTAGAAACCCAAAAATATTGTGAGTTTCGGACCTCTCAAGCAAAGAATCAGGCGCAGTCACCCCAACGTCGCATTTCGGTCCACCATCTTGACTTAAAATGTCATCTGGCAGCCAAACCATCCATGAAGACCACTGGCCCCACCATGGGAAGCTTTGTGCTGAGTTTGGTGAGGATATCTCTAGGGTTATCGAGCGGCGCCATATTAATAAACACATAATATTGACAAAGAGTGGAACGGGAGGTGTGAGGCTTTGGTTTTTAGCTGTGCCTGGGCACCCTCTGTGTGTGGAGCTACAATCTTAGGTTCCATGAGCCAGTGGTGTCCACTGTACACAAGCAGGCTAGAAAAGATCCTAGTTAGGGGGTCGACAACCTTTTTGGTCTAGCAGGCATATTTCAAATATTGAGAGAGATCTCTGAGTGCCCCTCACAAAATGCATGACAAAAATGAGAGAGAGTAAAAAATAATTAAATAAAATCCTGACCCGTAATGATAGAAGCAAAAATATTTGCTTGATCTGTGGATGATGTCTTCGTCCACATTGGTTTCCAGCAACCCCAGGGAAAGTGTCTGCTTCTATTTTTAGTCTTAAAAAAACTGCATTCTTGAAAGACCTACATTGTTTCCGAGCACAATTCAAAGTGTTGGTGCTGACCTTTAAAGCCCTAAATGGCCTTGGCCCAGTATACCTGAAGGAGCATCTCCACCCCCATCGTTCTGCCCGGACACTGAGGTCCAGCTCCAAGGGCCTTCTGGCAGTTCCCTCACTGAGAGAAACAAAGTTACAGGGAACCAGGCAGAGGGCCTTCTCAGTAGTGGCACCTGCCCTGTGGAACGCCTTCCCACCAGATGTCAAAGAGAAAAACAACTACCAGACTTTTAGAAGACATCTGAAGGCAGCCCTGTTTAGGGAAGCTTTTATATAATAATAATAATAATAATATTTATTTATTTATACCCACCCATCTGGCTGGGCTTCCCCAGCCACTCTGGGCAGCTTTCAACAAAATATTAAAATACAGTAATGCATCAAACGTTAAAAGCTTCCCTAAACAGGGCTGCCTTCAGATGTCTTCTAAAAGTCTGGTAGTTGTTGTTCTCTTTGACATCTGGTGGGAGGGCGTGCACATGTTTGATGCATTACTGTATTTTAATATTTTGTTGGAAGCCGCCCAGAGTGGCTGGGGAAACCCAGCCAGATGGGCAGGGTGTAAATTATTATTATTATTATTATTATTATTATTATTATTATTAAAAAAACCAACATCATCCCATCATTGAAGCCAGGGGGGTGGATGGTCTATTTCTCTCACGGAGTCCAATCCACAAGCCTGTGTGGTGTAGTGGTTAGAGTCTGGCACTAGGACCTGGGAAACCAGGGTTCAAATCCCCACTCAGCCAAATGAAGCTCACTAGGTGACCTTGGGTCAGTCCCTCCCTCAGCCTAACCTACCTCACGGGGGGGGGGGGGCATGGACGGGTAGGAGAGCAATGCAATGCAATGCAATGCAATCAATAAACCAGTGCATAGGGCATCTAGCTGCCCATCAGTTCTGCTAATATTTAATAAAATGCCCTTTCAACTTCTTGCAGCTTTCTCATTCTTATTTATTTTCATTAGGTAAAATGCCCCGGAGATAACATTCCTCTTTTTCCCCCGAAGGGAAAGAATAACTTCCATCTCCTTGAGTGGAAAATATTTTCTTTTATGGTGACTATACAAATGTTTTGTGCATTTTTGCTTTATAAGAACAGCAGATTTTCATGATCAACCCCCCCTCCCTCCCTCCCCGACACGTGATGCCGAGAGCAAGGGGCTGTTTTTATTCTTTTGAGCCTTATTTATGAACAACAGTTCTGCTCGCTACCTCCAGAATTCAGACGCAGGCCTCTTATTGAACCAGTGTCAGCAGGGTGTTGGCCAGTCACCTTTAAGCAACAGAGAAGGGCAAATTCCCCAATTCAAAGCAGAACCATACCCTGATGGGGAGGCAGCTGGGTGACCCAGGAACAAAAGAAGCAGCCCAACTAGCTCAGCATTGTATACTCTCCAGCATCCTGCTGATCAAAATTGGGACAGCCGGGTTTTTTGGTCCTGAGCTCTCACTGGAGACAGGTGATGAGCATGAGACAAAAAAGAGTGCTTTTTGGTCCAGCTTTCTGGTGGGAGAAAGCTAATCTGTGCCAGAGCACTGGAGCAAAAGACAGGCTATTCCAGAATCCAATCAGAATCCAGATTGGCTGTTGTATTTCTGGGATGTCCTGTGGTTGAGTGGTATGGCGTTATGAACACTGACGAGCTGTGGCCATCCAGGGTTTCAGGCAGGGGATATTCTGACCATCCTACCTGGAGGAGCTAGGGGTTGATCCTGGGAACTTCTGCATGCGCAGCAGCATGGGAAAACATGTAGCTCCTCTGCAAACCCACACCCAGTAATCAGGACTATGTATGCAGTTTCTACACTGGAACAGGAACTGCACATGGACAGGCACTGCAATACTGTACCTGCTTTGCATACAGAAGGTCCTGGTTCAATCCCAGCATCTTCAGCTAAGGAGATGCTCAGGGCGTTATAGATGGCCTAGTGTCATGGACCGGCTGGATGCAG